TTCTCCATTGATAAGAATGTTGTTTATTGGTCCAGTGGTGAGGATTTTTGTTTTCTTGACATTGAGATGTAATCCATACTGAAGGCTGTGCTCCAGAAGAGTTGCAGGTTTAAAGTAAACGAAGCCTAATTTCATCATCCTCACTTCTAAGGAGCGTTCCGACTGTACTTCTTCCAAGACAGATGTGTTTGTCCTTCTGGCCGTTCATGGTCTAGTCAATATTCTTCACCAACACTGTAATTCAAAGGCATTCACTTTCTTTTTATTTCTTTATTCACTGTCCAGCTTTCACATGCATATGAGGTGATTAACACACCATGGATTGGATCAGGCACACCTTAGTCCTCAAAGCGACATCTTTTGCTTTTGAACAATTTAAACAACAGTCTTGAGCAGTGGATTTGCCTAGTGTAAAAATCAAATACATGATTTGATTTCTGACCACTGCTTTCAAGAGTGTTGATGGTGGAGCCAAGGGAAATGAAATCATGGACAACTTCAATCTTTTCTCTCTTTCTCATAATACTGATTACTGGTCCAATTGTGGAGTTGTGTTTTCTTTACATTGAAGTGTAATCCATACTGAAGGCTGTAGTTCTTGATTTTCACCAGAAAGTGCTTCAAGTCCTCTTTGCTTTCAGCAAGCAAGGCTGTGTTAGCTGCATATATCATTCTTCACAGGAAGGTTATTAATGAACCTTTCTCTAATCCTGATGGCATGCTCTTCTTCATACAGTCCAGCTTCTCAGATTATTTGCTTAGCATACAGATTGAATAAATACGGTAAAAGGATACAACTCTGATGCCTACCTTTTCTGATTTTAAACCACACAGTATCTCCCTGTCCTGTTAAAACAACTGCCTCTTGGTCTATGTATGTATGTTATGCATAGGTTCCACAATTACATGTTCTGGAATATCCACTTTTTACAACATTATTTGTCATTGGTTATGATCCACACACTGAAATGCCTTTGCATAGTCAATAAAGGACAAGTAAACATATTTCTGGTATCCACTGCTTTCAGAAAAGATCCATATTTTGCCTGTAGAATTCTTCAGTATTGCAAGTTGTAGCTTGAATTTTTTTTTCTTTTTTCCCCCATTCTTTCAGCTTGAAAAATGCCAAGCATGTTCTTCCCTTTTGGTTTTCAGACTCTGGGTTCATGACAATACTTTACTTTGTCTTCTTGAGCTGCCTTTTGAAATCATCTGTTTAGTTCTTTTGCTTTACAAAGGACAACCACAAAGATGACAGCTTTTTGAAAAGCCTTGTGGGGCTGTTTTGCTCTGCCCCACGGAGTAGCTGAGTCTGGATCAATTTGATGGCACCCAACAACAACAAAAGTTACAACCGAGGAGGCTTTAGCCCATTTGTCCAAAGCCAGCAGCTGGGACAAGCTGGAGTTACAGACCGCTCAGTCCCCTGAGAGACACCACCATGATTCTTGTCTCCACACTACATTTTTAATGTTGTTGTTGTTGTCAGGTGCCATCAAGTCGGAACCGACTCATGCACAGCAGAAGGAAACAATGTCCGATCCTGGGCCAACCTCACTACCGCTGCCACACTTGAGTCCATCAATGATGCCACCTGGCCAATCCATCTCGTTGGGGGTCTTCCTCTTTTTCTCTGACCCTCCACCTTACCCAGCATGACATCCTTCTCCAATGACTGTTCCCTCCTGACAATATGTCCAAAGTATGAGAGACGAAGTTTAGCCATCTTGGCCTCCAAGGAGCACTCTGGCTGCACTTCTTCCAAAACAGATCTATTGGCAGTCCATGGCACTTTCAGTATTCTCCTCCAACACCACAACTCAAAGGTATCAATTCTTCTACGATCTTCCTTTAATAGTTTTCCTTAAAAGTCTTCTGTTTTGTCTTAAACAATGTTGTTGTAGTTGCTAAGTGCTGAGTCAGCCCCCTGAATCATGGAGAACCCCAAGCAGAATAGAATGAAATGCCACGGAATCAGACCACTGTGTTTCATTCAGCTTTCACTGACTGACTTTTGGGATTCGATTGCCAGGTCTTTCTTCCTAGTCTGTTGTAGACTGGAAGCTCTGCTGAAATGTGCTCGGCGTCAGAGCCCCATACAAGCCTCCACTGACATACATGTGAGATTGTATATGTGGTGCACGGTCTGGGGATGGGACCTGGGTCTCCCATGTGGAAGGTGAGAGTCCTACCACGGGATCACTGTCCCTGTGTCTTAAGTTAACATTACCTGTGAAATTTGAGCAAATACTGATAGTTTTCTGACACATGTTTAAGTAATTCTGTAACTCTCAAAATAAGAGACATGTGCAGGGGACCACCTGAAATCATCCCATGTGCCCCCTGGGAGTGTGGAAGCCCAAGAGCTGCAGGCCCCTGACCCCTGCTCATGCACAATTTCGGGGGTTGGTGGTGACATCGCTCCCGGGTCCAGGCAGTCATGGCACGGGCCTCCTGGTGGGTGTCCGATGATGTCCTTCCCCACCTTCACCTCCCGGACATTGCTCCTGGGTCCCTGGGATAAAGGGCCTGGGTCCATGCAGGCGCGGCACGAGCCTCCCGGTGGGTGTCTGACGATGTCCTTCCCCACCTTCACCTCCCGGGACTTACCATGAAGAGAATGGAGACCAAGTTGGTGAAGTAGGCTGGGAATCGATCTTTCCAGGTCAGCTTCACCTTGTCTGTCTGCAAACACAGAACAATATCTGGTCATTCATGGGGACCGGCCCAGTGGGACAGAACCTGTGTGTACGTTGTGGAAAACAAACAAAAAAACGTCTGCAGGTGATGAGCAGGTGGCATGTCTAGTCACTTTCAAAGAAGCGTTTGGGGTTGTAAGGCCCAGGGAATAAACGTACTACGACGGAATCATAGAAATCGTCCCAGCCACTGCCATCGAGCTGACTCCGGCTCGTAACAACCCTATGGGACACAGTAAAACTGCCACAGAATTTCTGAGACTGCAAATCTTGATAGGAACTGACAGCTTTAGTGTTTACCCTCGGTACAGCTGGTGGGTTTGAACCGCTGACCTTTCAGTGAGCAGCCCAATGCTTAACCCACAACAATCGTTTAAAAACGAGACTCGGCTGTGTATGGGGCAGTCGTAATCAAATCAACAATCAGATACTTTCCCAACGATGCCAGCCCGGTTGAGTCTATGTCTGAAGCAGCCAGTCTCACTGCTGAGACGAGAATGTGCAATGAATGAATGGTACTGTGTTTTATCTCTGCCCACAGAAACCAGACTCATTCTTTCCATCTTGGGAGCAGGTTGGAACAGGCGCCTAGCATTACAAGTTAAAAGGCTGTTGGCCGAACAGCAACGCTAGACTGGGGTTACCCATGGCCCGAACGCTCTCGGGGCCTAAGACATATTTGGTCTGGAGAAGTCTTAGGTAGGTTGTTTGTCAACAACCCGGGGTGTTTCTAGAGTGAGGGGTCGGATGAGGGAGGGCTGTTCAAACAGACAAGCATACCACCCTAAAGGTCACTCATTCCAGGAGCAGGCGACATGCGTGTTAATGAGAAGACCGACTTCAGGCAGGCGACGGTGACAAGCACATCCCCCAAGTGCCACATGAAGCCAGCGCGACCCCACACCAACATCCACCCCAACCATGCAGTGATATCCCCCACACACGGACCAGCTCTTTGGGTGCTGATGGAAGGCAAAAGACTGTGAAGGTTAAAAATAAAAGTAAAACAATGGTCAGAGTTTGTCGAGGGAAAACACAACGGACTTGGGATCATCTGCACCCAGTCCCCGAAATGGAAAAGTACCAATTTCGCCCCTGCCATGGCGGTCTTAACCCTCTGCTTCCATTTGTTTGGTGGCTCCTCCGGAGTATGGCGCAACTTCTGAGGGCAGGCGGAGGGAACAAGAGAGGACCGCGCGATGAAGCGTTATAAAGCACCGGAGGACCACGGGCCCCCCTGGCCGCCACCTGTCCCCCCTGGCAGCCAGCTGGCTTCTTGGCAAGCTCTCTACGAAGACAGTCAGGTTCTGGGCACTTGGAACAGAGCTAAGGAACAGAGCCTGACATTTCTACGAGAAAGACCGCAACAAAGGTAATGGATGGGACAGATCACGGTTTTCCACATCAAGACTCAAGCCAGAAGGTTCTAGAATGTCCATCCCATCACATGTTGGCTAAGACCTCAATGATACGGCTTATTTGGAGACACTGAGGATTCAACAGTGGAAGTCATGTCCAGAAGCACAAGTTATTAAGACCTTACTTAAGTATGGGATGGTTTCTGTAAGTCAGTTTAGGGCTCTGTTGTTGTTAGGCACCATCGAGTGATGGGGTACAACTGTCCCATAGGGCTTCCAAATCTTTCTAGGAGCAGACTGCCGTATCTTTCTCCCAAAGAGCAGCAGGTAGGTTCAAACCGCTGGTCTTTTAATGATTAGTAGCGAGTGCTTAACCACCGTTCCATCAGAAGCTTTTTCTCTCTCTCTCTCTCTTTCTAGCACTCTAGCTGGTGGAAAACAAAACCCTTACAGGATACTGCATGAGTCAAATGAATGGAGGACGAATCACAGTGTGGCATTCAGAATTGGACCAAACCCAGGATCACCAGTAGAACCCGCAAAACTCATCCCCCCAGTACCTTTGTGGGTCTCATGTGATCAAGACGTTTGGGGTAAAACCAAGCCATAGACCCAGAGAAGCAGAGGGACCAGGTGTCTGGGTGGGGGTTTTTATCACATGTCTTTCAAATTCACTGTGTGGGGTCAGCTAAGTCCCTTGTATTAAAGCCAAAAATCCCCTTTTTATTCCTTAGGAAGATCAAGAAGATAAATGCATACCACCCAGTGGCCACTGAGTCAGTGCTGACTCCTGGCGCCCCCTAGAGTGTCTGAGTGGAACTCCACTCTACTGGGCTTTCACAGGCTGCTTTTTCCACAAGATCACCAGGACTTTCTTCCAAAGCACCTCTGGGTGGTCTCTTGAACTGCCAACCATACATGCTCACTCTAAGAGGTACTACCAAGAAGCAAGGGGTGGCCTGTCTTGGGAGCCCGAGCAGTCTCCTATGACATCTTTGTCTTGGGGCTGAGAACACCCCACTCAGAACTAGTCCTTGTTACGTACAGTGGAGGCTTGAGGGGCCACAGAGATAGTTAGCAGTGTCCACACCTCACTTTACAAGGAGGACATGTGGTCCAGAAGGGCTAATGGACTGGTGTGAGTCACACAGTGACCGCTTAGGAAACCAGGGGTGCTGGACACCCACACTTTCTGATGTGTCTCTTTATTGTAGGGACAATTCGTATTTCTGCAGTGACGTGCTTTATACTCTTGAGACCCAATCAGACTGAAAGAGGGTCTTCAAGGAAGTACGCCCCTTTTCTGCAGCCCAGATTTCCTGTTTTATAGGAACTGGAGTCCCAGAGAACCCATGTGGTGACTCCCCAGATGGGATTCTGGTTGTCGCCACCCCCAGCCACTTGGAACCAGCGGACTTGACCACATGACATAATGATATGTAAAGGCAGAAGTTCAGGCTTGCCTGACTGGGGTCCCAGAAGCTGACAGTGTAGACGCCCTGGCAGGAATCAGGAAAACAAAGGGATTCCTTGATTGTTTCGAGTCCCTCCAAGAACCCATGTCAACCTCCCCAGCCTCAGCACCCAAGCTGGCTCTGTGCGTAACCTGAAAAGCCAGGGGACTCCTGAGATTTGTAGGAACTGATGCTTTACACATGGTTTGTCTGTCGCTCTTTGCTGTGTTGTTGATTCCGGCTCCTGGCAAGCCGATGCGAACAGAGTAGAACTGCTCCATTGGGTTTTCAAGGAGCTTTCAGAAGCAGATTGCCAAGCCTGTCGTTGGAGGTGTCAGTGGGAATGCTCGAACTGGCAACCTTTGAGCTAGGAGATGTCACCAAGGGACTTCTTTGTGTACTGATAAGACCACCAATTAGAATGAGAGGTTTTGGAGAAAAGAAAGAAATCTGTTGCCAAAAGATGGTGCCTTAAGAATGTTATAAAAACAACACTTTTTCTCTTTTAACATGTGCTAGGGGTGGGTACCAATGATGCCAAATGGACTGAGAGAAAGTTCAGAAACGCTGTAAATTCTGTTGTTGAGACCTACCCTTAGGGGTAGAGCAAGAAGATAAATCTTATCTAATTAGTTAACTTGGGTGAAGGGAAAAAACCCCAAAATGAGTCCAGTTGCTATAGCGTCAACCTATGTGCTTCATGGGGTTTTTTATGGCAGCAGATCACCAGGCATTTCTTCTGAGGTACCTTTGGGTGGGCTTAAACCTCCAACCTTTGATTACCAGTTGAGGATGTTAACTGTTTGCGACACTCAGGGACATCAAATCGACACCAGTGCTGAGAACCAAGTCCAGCCTGGCTGGCTTTTTATAAATAAAGCTTTATTGGAACCCAGCCAGGTTCATCTGTTTGTGGATTGTCTGTGGCTGTGTCAAAACCTAAAATACAAACTCTGGTCCTCTACAGAAACTCTGTTGACCCCTGTCTACACTGGATGAATGCAGTGTAGACTGGTCAACAGATAGTTGATGGCCGGGGAGGGGGAGTGGGCAGTGACCACCATACCTCTTTGTTTTGGGACTCTTTTCTTAGTGACTTCTCCAAAACTCGGGCTTCATATTCAGCTCTGGGATGATCCTGTGAAAGAAATTGAGTCATGAGGGAAGTCTTGTTAAGCACCGTCTGAGGTCCTCAGCATGGGCGCCTTGTGGGTGGTAGGAAGTGGGATCAGTTCATAGCTGGCTGCTCTGCACATTTCAAATTCACAACTCCCCAAATTTAGTCAGGGTGGAAGCTTGGGATTCTCCCTGTTGGGCCAAGTCGGGAAGCACAGCCTGGTGGGAAGGCTACAAATCTGGGTTCTGGTCCCAGAAGTGGATTGTGAGTGCAAGGTGCCAGCATCCCAGAGCCCCACTTCCTCACTATGAGCACCCAGTCATGAACCGGCCCCAGCGAAGGCTCCCTGGAGGAGCCAGGGGGTTTCGGAAGAGGCGGTAGTGTGTCAGCAAGCGTGGGCAGACCACAGGCACGAGAGCAAGTCAGCAGAGGGCACTAGAACCGAAGAAGAGGGTTAGGAGAGACCCGGAGCTGAGGGAGAAAGCAGAGACCCTCGAGGCCAAAACAGATGGGGTAGGTGCAAGAGAAGGCCCCTCTTCCCAGGAGACAGGCTACGGAAAGATAAAGGAGTCAACAAAATTCCAAACCTTGACTGCCTCCTTCAGGAAACCAGAGAAGTAAAAACAAAAACAAAAAAAGGGTCTTGTTACTTTCATTGCTTTTTAAGGTGGTGGCTAGCCAGCTGCCACCGAGTCCACCTATCTCACGGTGACCCGGTGTGTGTCACAGTAGAACTGTGCTCCACAGGGTTTTCAATGGCTGACTTTTTGGTCTTAGATCCCCAGATCTTTCTTCCGAGGAACTTCTGGGTGGACTCGAACTTCTAGCCTTCTGGTTAGTAGCTGAGTGTTACTACTGTACCCCCCAGGGGCTCCCAGACATACACTATGTTCTTTAAAGGTCATTTTCTTAATAACTGCGACAAAAATAAAGGGGTACGGTGGCCAAGATGGACATGGGGTGGGGGTGGGGTGGGGAATATCAGGGACTTGTTTTAGGTCACTTCTGTTCAAGAAGGTTCAGAGGGTGGTCGCTTTGTAGCCCACAATTTGGGAAACCCCCAAGTGAGAGCTGGGTTGAAATTGTTTAGGGACATGAAGGTCAGATGATTAGATACACACCCCCTCTGCCTGGGGTTCAGACTTCATGGGAGGTGGAATGGGGGCTGCATTGTCAATGGTTCTGACGCCTGGGTCAGGGTGGGAGGGGCTGAACAGAAGAAACAACTCCTTCCTCCAAGTTTCCCCAATCAGAGGGACCCCCCCCTCTAGAAAGACCCACTGCCACTGAGTCAATTCCAACTCCTAGGACCCTACAGGTCAGGGCAGAACTGCTCCGGAGGGTTTTTGAGGCTGGTGCTATAGGAAAAACACAGGACTGCTAACCACAAGGTTCAGCAGTTCAAACCCACCAGCTGCTCCTTGGAAACCCTATACAGGGTCACTGAATCGGAAGTGACTTGATGGCACTTAACCACAACAATAAAATTTTATTTAAAGTCATCTCTCTCCCGTGGTGGATTCAAACCATCAAACTATAGGTTAGTAGCCCAGTGCTTTAACCAGTGGGTCACCAAGACCCCTTCATCCTGGAAAGGGTGCTCCAAATGGCTTTTTAGTCATGAAACCCTGGCTGCTTTACTCTGTCCCAATCCCTCCTGATGGAGATGGAAACAAGGAAGGCCCCTGGGAGGCTGGCTGACCCAGGCCCCACCATGAGACAGTGTTGGGGTTCCCTCTGTAAGAGCTGTGTGTCAGTCTGAGCTCCTCATTTGCCAAACAGGCTCATGAGCCCAGTCATGGAGGAAGGCTGAGACTTGGGCAGATGCAGGCGTGGTGCAGGTGTGGCTGGTCAGGTGACCTGCTCTGTCCTGGGCCCTGCTCTAAGCTTAGCATCTCCTGACCCAGTGAGTCTCCGCCCCACCCCCAGACCTGATCTCAGCCCTTGTTAGAGATGCAAGGACATGGAGGTACAGAGAGTAGAGTGACGTGCCCCAGGTCACACGGTGGCATCAGAGCTGTTGAGTCTCCTCCACTAACTGCAACTCCTTCATGTCCTTATTATATCAGGACAAAGGCGGCACACCTGGACTCTCTGACTGGACACATCGGGCTCAGGAGTGGTCGGGTCCACTTAGCTACAGCGTGGACCATGCGGTGGGTGGGGCAGCACAGTAGGGAGGTGAGCAGAGTGAAGGGGGTGATTTCCACAGTACAACTCAGAGGCACCGTTAGGTACTGGCGTCGCCCAGACCTTCTGTGCTGTGCCCTGACTGCCCCTGGGGACCACTGTCCCTTTCCATTCCCACCCACCCAAGGGGGAGTCCCTGACAGAAGTGGGGCACTGAAAACACTTCCTCGTCGGGGTCCTGGGGAGATGGCTCACTGCCCGTCCCGCTGCCAGTCCGCACTGAGCTTCCTGAGCTCAGAGAACTGAGACATCTGGTCTCGGTTCCCGTCTGCAGTGGGCCAGGGCTGTGTCTGCTTCCGGACCACGCCCAGCAACAAGCAGGGCACTGGCTCTGGAGAGTGTGGCTTGGCATCTGAGACACCAACACTCACCAACACTCATGGCTGCATTTGGGGACCGCCCTGGTGCGGCTTCGGTGGCTCACAAGGCCTGCCAGGCCACCCAGACCCCGCCTAGCAGCCCCTGGTGATGCGGTCAGCTCATCTGGGAGGGAGCCCTGGCATGTGTCCACAGCCACGCTGGTGGCTGGTGTGGCCATGTGAGTGTTGAGATCAGAGACATCTTTGAAGACATGAAACGGTCGTCCTGGCAACCGAAGGCCTTTGGCACACGGAGGGGGTGGTAAGGTGAGATGCAGCTGGGCTGCTCTGGGTCTGGGAGTGGACCCAACCTGGGACTGGGGACGGGGAGGTATCAGACTCACTGACCTCCTCCTCCTCGAAGCCTGTGAGGTCCCAGCGATAGTTGAGCCTCATCTGTTTCCGTTTCCAGTGTTCCATGAAGGTGGCAGCTGCAGGTAGGGAGAACAGGGTTGTCAGAGCAGGGAGCCCCCCCAAGAGTCAGATGACACCATTTGGGGAGCAAGCAGGACATAGTGGGCCAAGACTTCCACATGGGCTAACCTTCCTAGCTCTCTCCCAATGACCCCGTGTGGCATTTTAGAGAAGGAGAAACTGAGGCATGGAGAGTCAGTCCTACCACCAAGGTTATTTATCAAGGAGGTGGGGGTCTAGCCCCAGAGACTGTACTCTTCACTGTACTGTGTGCTCTTGTGGGTATCCCAACTCACAGGTGGGGAATGCTAAGGTTAGAAAGAAAAACGGGGTGCGGTCACACACTCAAGATTCAGTTCCAGGCAGGCGGTTTGGCTGCTCTGAATAAGAAGAGTTCAAATGTCTCCTCGTCCAGGAACCTTCTGGTCACTCCTTAAGTATCAGGAGAAAACCAGTTCATCTTGGGACCTGTTAGGGACTGAATTGTGTCCCCCCACCAAAAAAAGATATGTTACTAGAGAGTAGACACATATTAATGTGGGTGAAGAGGAAGGCATTACATAGTAAGAGGGTGGTCTGCAAAAAATGACGAAGGCAAAGGAAGACATTGGGAAGAATACAAGATTAAAGCCAACAGAGGTAAATGCTATTTTACGCCCAATCCTGCAAAAATGATCATTTATGAGTGATTGCAGAGATAGACACCCAAGCTGAACTGGTGTGGGAAGGAGAATGGGACTCAAAAAAACAAAGATACATTGCAGTCTTAATCCCTATGCCGTGAATGTGACCTTGTTTGGAAATTAAGTCTTTCTTTGAAGACACTGTCTGCTCAGGAAAACTAGTTGGGTGGATCCCCATCCTGTCTGGGTGGTATTTTATAAAGAGGAGAACAGACACAAAGCTACACAGGGGGAAGATTCTGTGGGAAGACATATATCTTCAAGCCAAAGAACATCAGAAACGTCCGGAGTTACAGAAGCTGAAGGAGATGGGGAAGAGAGAGCTGGCAGACAGAGACCCTGAATTTGGGCTCTCAGTCTCCAAAACTGTGAGACAGTAAATTCTCGTTCTTTAAAGATAGCCACTTTGTCGTATTTTGTTACTGCAGCCCTCAGAAACTGACTATCTCGGTCATGGTGTTCACACTGACTTCTATTACGAGCCCTATCCTGCGTCTTAGGACCCTTCTTCTATGTGGGGCAGGGGTTGGGCCTCACTCATCTGTGTTCTCCACACGGTCCACGGAATGGATGAATGACTTTGTGCATGAGTGCCCAACTTACAAACAGAGATGTAGCTGACTGACCCGTTGATCATTCACTCTCCCTCCCCATGAAGCAAAGTGAGCAGGGAGGGACAGGCTGAGGGATGGCAAGAGTCATGAGCAAGCCAGAGACACCAACACAGGGTATGCATCTTATTTAAACCTCCCAGGATTCCTGGTGTGGCACTGTAGGATCTACACCGGTCTGCTAACCACAAGGTCGGTGGTTCAAACCCATCGGCCGCTCCTTGGAAACCCTACACAGGGTTGCTGTGAGTGGGAGTGGACTCAACAGCACTACATAACAACAGTGCTGCTACAAGGTCAGCAGCATTCTCTCTCCCATTTTATGGGGAAAGAAACTGAGGTTTGGAAGGATGAAACTTTCTCTAGGAAGTGGGGGAGCCAAGATAGTGGGTGGGTTGGGGGAGGTGGCTTCAAAAAGTTCATGGAAAATGGAATTACAAGAGAATGGAAGGTTTTCCATAAACTTCTGAAGCTCACTTGTATAAGCAAAGCGAAGCGTGCAACTGCGACATCAGGGAAATTCACCAACTGAGCAGACTGCATCACGCTGCAGCCGAGAGCCGTGTGTGAGTCACATTCATCTTCAGAGAGGACCCGTCTATGCAGAATGAGCCTCTCACTGTTAAGGGGAAGCTAGAACAGGGCTTCAGAGTCTGCAAGTACACTTACTGCATTAGCAGCTGTGCTGACCAGGCCCAGACAGGAACCCAGGACTTCCTTAGGTCTTCCCAACAGGGATCATTTCATATTAGGAACTTACTGCACAGAGGATGGATGGGCTGGGAAACTTAATGTGTGTGTGTGTGTGTGTGTGTGTGTGTGTGTGTGTGCAGATCCCTAGATATTACCAAGAGCAGGAAGTGGTGAGCAAGGGAGCCTGGGAAATGTAGTTCAGTATGCCAAAGGGACCCTGGGGGGAGAACTCAGTACAGTGGAGTGGATTCCAACTCATAACATCCTAAATTGTTGTTTCTGATTCAGCCTTGTATAGGGTTTCTGAGGCTGCAAAGGTTTGCGGGAACAGAAAGCCTCATCTTTCTCCCACGGAGTGACTGGTGGGTTTGAACCGCTGACCTTTTGCTTAGCTTAACCCACAGTGCTACCAAGGCTCCTAGGGGTAAGAGAAGGAACTGGATAGTGTCTAACAGCATGCATGAACCTGGCCACTGAGCGGACACATACAGAGCATCATCAGTATGTGATGGGACAGGCGGGGAACACACACGGAGCATCGCTGTGGGGACAGGCAGGTCAAGTCTGGTTCCTGCCATGAAGATGCCCAGTGGTCTGGGGGCAGGCCCGTGTGCAGTGGGTACCACTTGCCAAGGAGGAAAACGATGATGCTCTGGCTGCTTCATTGCTTGGGAACAGTAGAGGAGGTCTAAGCTGCTCTCATGCCTCCACTCGTTCTGGAATTTTCCCCATTCCAGAGTTTTCTCAGCTGTCTCTATCCTTTGCCTGTGACCACGCTGCCTTCCCAGACCTCATTCAAACAGAGGAGATTAGCTCTCCGCACACCTGTGGAATTGGCCTGCTTCTCTCCTGTCTCCTGGCCTCCCCCATCTCCTTGTCATCCCCAGACTTGCCCTGGACCCACCCAGGAAGGTCTCTTGACTTCTATGGCCCACTCCTACCTCCACCTCCTGGACCCACTCTCCACTCAGCCACCTGCAGTGTGACAACGACAGTAAACACTGAATAAGGACTCATTCATTAGGAGTCCTGGTGTGGTGCTGCAGGTTAATGCACTGGATCGCAAGGCCAGCGGTTCAAATCTACCAGCTGCTGCTTGGAAACCCTATACAGAGTATGAGTCGGGATCAACTCAACAGCACTTAACAATAGCATTCTAACAAACAGTTTTGCACTTGGCTACCAAGGAGCTCTGGTAGTGTAGTGGTTATGAATTAGGCTGCTAACCTCAGAGTCATCAGTTCAAAACTACCAGCTGTTCCACGGGAGAAAGATGAGGCTTTCTGCTCCCGTAACCATTTACAGCCTCAGAAATCCTGTACAGGGTCGCTATGGGTCAGAACCGACGCCACGGTACATCACAACAGCAACAACCAACCCAAAGGAGTCCTGGTGTGGCGCTGTGGGCTAATGTGATAGACTGCAAAGTTAGTTTGAACCACAAGGTCAGCAGTTCAAGCTCACCAGCTGCTCCTTGGAAACCCTACACAGGGTCGCTATGGGTCGGAACCGACTCGACGGCACTAACAACCACCAACTCAAAGGTCAGCGTGGCAGTTTGAACCCCCCCCGTGGTACCATGGAAGAAAGATCTGGCAACCTCTTTGTGTAAACATCATGGCAACAAAGCCCCATGGAGCTCAGCTGTCCTTGGTAACACGTGGGATTTGCCAGGATTTGGAATTGATGTGATGGCACCGGGTTTGTTTGTTTTGATTTTCATTACCTGCCAGGCATTATGCTGAGCACTTTACAAACCTTAGTTACTTAAATCCTCACAACAACCCTGTGGAGTAGGAATTATTTTCATCATAAAGTAACGGAAGCCTCTGACTCATGGCTTGTCAATCAATGTCAGAGAGCGGATCTGGTCTTTGATGCCAAGAGTGGCCAGGGTCACAGGTGATGGTTTCCCAGGGCCAAACCCCATTGAGGTACAAAAGAACGAAGATGCAAGTCTCACCAATGAGATCAGAACATCCTGGGACCTAGAACCCAGGGGGTGGCTGGACACAAAAACACAGGGCAGATAGGCCACTTTGAAACAGGTGGCTGGGATCCACTCCTCTCTCTCAACGTTTGTTTTAAGGACACTATGCTGTTCTAATACAACTTTGCAAGGGAGCCTGGATGGAGCAGGTAAATGATAGATTTGGACCTGTCATGGGTCAAGCCTCGGTCTCCACATCTGGAAAATGGGCTTGATGACAGTACCTGGATGAGAGTGCTGATGGTGGGGCTACATGGACTTGTCCACAGCAGCGCTTGGAGGGGGTGGGAAGAAGCCGAGGTCCTGGCAGGTCTTCGTGTTCATTTGTGTGTGCATCACCGGCTGCAGCTGGTGGCTACCTCTGGGGTGGGGATGGAGGTGCAGACTGACTCTGTGATCCCTAGGTGCCTGCCAGAGTTCAGGTTTCTGGGGGCTCCACTGATCTTCCGAATCAGTGCATTCTTTCCTCTTTGACCTTGGCCTTCCAGTTGTCTTGGGTACAAGCCGAGAACTCAGGTGCTCTGATGCAGGTTAGAATCCCAGAGGCCAGTGTGACACGCACAAGGCTGACAGGGAGCGAGGGGCCAAGCTCTTTCTGAATGGGGTCTGGTCTCCACAATGGGGTCCCTGTCCGAGGTCTCCCAGAAGAGAGGCAGGCCAACTAGGTTCCAGTTTCTACATTGTAAATGCTCTACGTTCACACCAGCTGAGAGGGGCAGGGCAGCAGAGGCGCGCAAACCGACTGCAGACACTGGGAAGTCCAGAGACCCGGACCCCAGCAAGCATAGCACTAAGCGAGCCCCAATGGGATGGAAAGGTCCCTAACCATTCATTTCTCACTAGGTCATTGTGTTTACTCAGGGTGTACACTTCAGCTTCTTGGTGACCCTGGGGACCTGATCAGACAAGCCAGGTTCTGTCAGAGTGACCAACAGGCGCCGGGTGTAATGAGGTCATGAGGATCTGTATCACCCAATATGTCTGATTTATGGTGCTGGCAAAGAATACTGGACGCACCATGGACTGCCAGAAGAACAAAC